TATATATATACATATATTATTATTTATTATTTACTTACTACACACACACACACACACACACACACACACACACACACACACACAACACGTTCACTCTAAGGTTGAGGTTTTAATTGCAGAAATGTCAGGAAATTAAAGGTAACGTTCACAGTGTTCCTTTTTGATTATACATTACAATAGTGTATTTCATTATATGATTTATGGAACATATCGAGCAGGGATCAGCAACCTTTGGCACATGGCTCGCCAGGGCAAGCACCAGGGGCGGCTCCAGGCACCAGCGCAGCCTGGGGTGGTGTGCCGGTCGCCGTGAGGGTGTCAGTCAGGCAGCCTTTGGTGGCATGCCTGCGGGAGGTCCGCCGGTCCCACGGCTTCGGCAGCAATTTGGCGGCGGGTACGCCGAAGGCGCGGGACCGGCAGATCACCCGCAGAAACGCCGCCGAAGCCGCGTGACCAGCGGACATCCCGCAGGCATGCCACCGAAGGCCGCCTGACTGCCGTGCTTGGGGCGGCAAAAAACATAGAGCCGACCCTGGCAAGCACCCTGGCAGGCCGGGCCGGTTTATTTACCTGCCGTGTCTGCAGGTTTGGCCGATTGTGGCTCCCATTGGCTGGGGCAGGTAAACAAACTGGCCCGGCCCGCCAGGGGCTTTCCCTGGCGAGCTGCGTGCCAAAGGTTGCCGATCCATGATATAGAGTTTCATCCTGTGTCATTTTAGTCAATGGGAGCATTATCATTTACTTCAATAGGTGCAGGCTCAAGATAATATGTAGGAGCAAAAAGTAAAACATGCAGAAGTGTCAAATTCCACGAAGTGGGATCTGGTCACCTCTGCCATAGATGACAAGTGGCATGTAGGGAAACACTAAGGACTTTACTCTTGCAAGACACCCAGGCTGGAGATTTGACTCATGCAATATTTGGAACATGTATGGCTATATAAAGAAGTGCAGCTTCCTTCCACTGTATCATATTGTATTATTGCTGAGCAGTATGCCACATTTTCCTATGTGACCAAGTAAGACAGTACCCTACTATAATGCATGTGCTCGAGGGAAGAGTTATGGTTACCATGGGAATTTTAACTATGATTTTACTGACTGTTGTGTAATCAAAATTTCAACTTTAAAATTGCATTACAATAGTTTATCACTTTCATGTACTGCTTATATTATCTGAAACTTAATGATAGGCAATGTTGCCAAAACTGGTAATTCATGAATGTGGCATAATGTAAATGAATTGCAAGGGCTGTAATTCACTGAGATTATGCTATAGCTCTAAACTGAAAACAGTGTAATGTGCAGACAAAAATAGCTTCTGAAATTAAAACAGCAGGTTGGCAGTAGTCTTTATAGTATTCACCACATCCAGCTTTTACCTGCCAGTATTTAAACAATTTAGAAATATATACATATAAAAAAGTGGAAGTCAAATGCTAGAATGTTTTTGAGTAACATATTATTGTAAGGTACAGCAATCAGGAATTTATTTTATACTGAATTACAGTATACTTATAACAAATGTTTAAAGCAATGATAACTTTTCACTTACAGTATATAGCCCCTTCCATGTACAGATCAGAAAGCAGTTAATAAACTTTAATTAAGCTACCCACCTCTCCTATGCAGTACATGAAAGTGATAAACTATTGTAATGCAATTTTAAAGTTGAAAATTTTAAAGGAAAATGTGGCATACTGCTCAGCAATAATACAATAATACAATACCCTTTTACACCTGGGCAAAAAGGGGCAGACAAAGGTTAAGTGAATTAGAAGTTACAGAGGTTAGTAGTCGATGGAACTATCAGAAATGGAACTCAGGAGTCCCCTGTATTAACCACTGTACCATATTCCCTAAGACAGTGGTTTTCAACCTGTGGTCTGCAAACCCTGTAGGTCCACAGACTATGTCTAAGATTTTCAAAGAGATCCACACCTCCATTCGTAATTTTTTATGGGTCCGCAAATGAAAAAAGATTGAAAACCACGGCTCATAAATGTGTGTCCTTGATATAAGACTCTTACCTGATTGGGTATTCGTAAAGGTGGCCTTGGACCTCCAGGGTATCGAGGGGACATAAAAGGCTATGAAAAAAGGAACATAACCAAAGAATTCAATTTAGTTCAGAAATGTTTTATGTAGTAACTACATGTATAGTTTCTGTGATCCTCAAATCTCAGGAGCTCATCTTATATACTTTGACGACAGTATTTAGTACATTAGTCTGCAGCACTTAGCAAAACTATATATATTTTAAAACTCTTTTCTAAAGATTAGTACCAAGCTGCATTTCTTAAAAATTTTAATACAGCTATTGTGTAAGCAGAATATGAACAACTCCATGCATAGCATATGTAAAATGATAAACTATTAAGATTACATAATCAAAAATGGAAGGTTTTGACTGGATAAAAGGGAAGTTAAAAAGCCTGGAATATAAAATAAAATACCCTTGGAAGAATTGAGAAGTACATAATAACAGAATAATACAAAATGTCAAGTACTTTATCTTTTTACATTTTCATTTTAAAGAATACAAGGTTTATAATAGTGATAGAGGATTTGGATTTCAGGTTTGGTTCACATATGTATCTAGAGCTCTGGAGACTTATCTGAACTACATTATCTAAATTACTGACCTCTGCTCACATACCTCATGTAATGCAACCCTTACTCCCCACACCAGTCCACCTACCCCATCCAACAGACCTTGATTCATCATCACTTGGTGTTAGCTGAGTGTCCAGTGGACCTCAGCTGCCATTGTAGTACATAGGAGAGAGGTAGTCTTTAAGATAAATGGGGAGCAAACCAGTTAGGAATTAATATATGAAAGTCAACTCCTTAAATTGCACCCAGAAGTAAACAGGAAGCCAGTGCAAACATCAGAAAACAGATCTAACATTCCTGTGAGGGGTTTAACCCCCATCACCTGGGCAAGGGAAAGAACCCTAATTAGTCAAGCTCTGCATCTGGGGGGTGATTAATTAACTGCCTTCTGGCCAGAGGAGGTGGAGTTATGACTTATAAGTAGACTGAAGGAGCTCAGTTGGGGAGAGACTACAGAGGAGACAGATCTCTCTGGCCGAGAGAAGCCCTGGGATAGGGTTTAGCAGACAGGAAACAACAGAGGAAGAATATTACGGGAGCAGGTTAGGTTCCTGCAGGGGAAGCCTGAGGTAGGGCCAACAAAGGAACTAAAGCGGAGTCTGAAAGGGGGGAAGGGGTATACGTTTTAAGATTAATTTGTTCATGTTCCAGTGGAAGTGGTTTAGACTTTCATGCAAGTTGGTTAGAGGGCCAAGCCACAGAACACCTGGAGGAAGTCAGGAGAAGACAAAGGCTGGGAAAGGCCATCACAGAGATGAGGGAGAGCCCAGTAGGGGGTGCCAGAGACAATGATCCTGTCCAACACTGTGATCAGAGATGAGGGGGAGTGCTATTACAATTCCTCATGATTACATTTTCAAGCACGACAGCTCATGAAATCGTCACCAGCTGTAACTTTCAAGCTGTCTTCAAATACAACCATAGGTAAAGCACATTGAATTATTCCCATCTAGAAGTCAGAAAGCAGAGATCATGGTAGCAAAGTCTAGATCTGAAAGGAAAGGGAGAAAATGTCTAACTAGAAAGATGATAAAAAGAGTGATTTTGGCAACTAACACCACCTGTAATTCCAGAAGCAGCTGAAGAGCCTAAAGCATACTTCAAATTGTGAATATTTGGACACAGAGAAGACTATCCCTGCAATTACCAGGGCAAAACCTTCCCTTCCACAAGCCTTTCCCTCAGGGTCTCTCAGACCAACAGAGTGGAAATTCCGGAGAACAAAAGCTGAGCTGGAAGTGTTGGACTTACTGAGCTCACTGAAATGGCTGGAGCAAATGACTGTACAGTGGTTTTAATGTTATGCAGCTGGACAAATTAGAAAATCCCATTATAATGACTGTAGGTTTAAAAAAAAGTCTGTACTGAAAAACCCTAAACAGGGTGCAGAAAAAAACATTATTTTTCTGTTACAGACATTCATGACAAAGAAAGAATTCCAACAGCTGGTAGGGGAGCAAAAGATACATTCTATTTAAAAAAAAAATCAGTCTTCAAAATTTCATTTTTCTCATTCTAAAGCCCAGGAAAAACCATCAGAAAAGGAGATAATGTGTTCCTATTAGGAAAGTCTTTGAATAGGCATATGTTGAAACATCAGCACTTTTCCTGGTTACTTTCTGGTTCAGACAGTCAGGAAAAGTGATAATGATTCAGCATGACTTCTGGACAAGTTTCAAAAGTCGGATTCCACAAACAATATCCAACAGGATGCAGATGACATAGAGACTCTGGCATCTTTAACTGCCTATTGTTACTACTAGCTATTTTTGTTCAGTTTGCTGTTAAGCTTTAGTCTGCTTGATTTTGAAATATAAAATGTTCAAGATTTCTTGTACCTAGCAACCAGGGTTTGGGTTAATTCCTATAGATAATAATCCAGCAAGTGGTCTGGCTCTCAAGAAACCTCTTTTATTTAAATCAACATCCTTTCTGAATACTGGGATTAGAGTTTGTTTACTCCCAAGTGAGGTTAAATTAATATTTGGATACCGTTGTTACTTCTTTTTACTCGTTTTCATATTTAATGACAAAAATGTGCAAATAAATTGCAAAATTTGCAATATTTAGGCACCTAAATATAAGTAGCCTGATTTTCAGTAATGATGGGTATCCACAATCCTACTGAAACCAGTGGGAACTGCAAGCTCAGTATCTTTGAAAATCAGGCCATTCTTGTTTAGGGGCCTACATTTGGATTAAGGGGCCTAACATTAGGTATCCAGGTTTGAAAATTGTGGTCACAGAACCCATTAGAAAACTACCATGATTCCACTTGGTTTTTAAAAGGCACCTCTATATGTAATTTCTGGATTCCTTCTCTCTGCTCCGTAACATTGGATGAAGCTTCTGAAAGAAGGAGTTAAACACAGGACTTCTTTTATTTCTAACTATTTTAATAAATTGTTCAAATTTCTATTCCTGGAAATGTGACTCTTGTTTAACCAGACAGATTTTAAAGTAAATTTAATCTTTATGAGTGAGTTTCTAGGCATGTGATAGCCCAGTTGTGGGCAACCTGCGGCCCCATCAGGGTAATTCGCTGGCGGGCCGCCAGTTTGTTTAAATTTTCACGTCCGCCTGCAGCTGGGCGAACCGTGGCCACTGGGAGCTGTGGGCGGTTGTGAAAATGTAAACAAGCTGTCAGGCGGCTCATCAACGGATTACCCTGACGGGCCGCACACGGCAAGCGTGCTGCAGGTTGCCCACCACTGCGATCAGTGCCAGCTCCAGCGTTTTTGCCACCCCTAGTGGTGGGAAATTTTTTATTTAAAAAAGCCGTGATCAGCGGCAGCTTTACCGCTGCCGCTTCATTCTTCAGTGACAGGTCCTTCCCTCCGAGAGGGACTGAGGGACCTGCCACTGAAGAGCCGTATGTGCCGCCCCCTTTCCGTTGGCTGCCCCAAGCACCTGCTTGCTGCGCTGGTGCCTGGAGCCGGCCCTGACTGCGATAGCCTATGTGCAGGCTGCACTGTGTGGTTCAATTTAATGTAAAAAATAACCTGAAAAAAGTTAAAGAAAAGAAAACTTATCTCAAAAAGAAAAGGTTAATACATAGGGCCAGATTCACCCTAGGTTCTACGTTCGCTTATGGCAGCACACACCTGGTGGTAGTAAGTACAAGGCCATTTCAGCAAAACAAAATGAATTTTTTGTATTGGTCTTCATTGCAGAGGACATGGGGGAGATACCCAAATCACAGCTATTCTTTTTAGGAACAAATCTGTATTGTCGCACACCGATGGGTTAATAGTAGAGGTTTTAGAACAAATTGAAAAATTAAACAGTAATGAGTCACCAGGACCAGATGGTATTCACCCAAGAGTTCGATTGAACTCAAATATGAAATTACAGGACTACTAACTGTAGTATATAACCTATCGTTGAAACAAGCCTCTGTACCAGATGACTGGAAGGTGGCTAATGTAACACCAATTTTTAAAAAGGATGTGAGAGGCGATCCTGGCAATTATAGGCCAGTGAGCCTAATTTCAGTACCAGGCAAATTGACTGAAACTATACTAAAGAACAGAATTATCAGACACACAGATGAACACAATTTGTAAAGGGAAATCATGTCTCACCAATCCATAAGAATTCTTTGAGGATGTCAACAAGCATATGGATAAGGGAAATCCAGACAATATAGTTGTATCCGTATTTTCAGAAAGCCTCTGACAAGATCCCTCACCAAAGGCTCTTAAGCAAACTGAGGGTATGTCTACACTATGAAATTAGGTAGATTTTATAGAAGTTGATTTTTAGAAATCGATTTTATACAGTCAATTGCGTATGTCCCCACTAAGCACATTAAGTTGCCAAAATGCATCCTCACTACTGTGGCTAGCATCGACTTACAGAGCGGTGCACTGTGGGTAGCTAGCTCACAGATCCCACAGTCTCCAATGCCCATTGGAATACTGGGTTAAGCTCCCAATGCCTGATGGGGCAAAAACATTGTCGCAGGTGGTTTTGGGTACATGTCATCATTCCTCCTCCCATTCGTGAAAGCAATGGCAGACAATCATTTTGCACCTTTTTTCCAGGGTTACCCATGCAGATGCCATACCACAGCAAGCACGGAGCCCGCTCAGCTCACTGTCACCGCTGCTTTTGTGGGCAAGTCTATTGTGGGGGGCTGCTGTGATCCAAGTAGCCAATGCAGTCATTGACGTTCTGTTATCAAGGGTAGTGACTCAGGGAAATATGCGGGCCTTTTTAGATTTTAGATGCGTCATATTCCTGTCCTTTGTCGCTGGTGAAGAAGTCTTGCAGCTGTACATTCCAGTCTGGTCGGTGCTGTAACACCCCATAGCACTTCTGTGGTTGACACATGTAACAGTTCCAGGGCTCTTGCTCTTTTCCCTTGGCCAAGGTACCTTACCCTACCAGCACCTCCAAGCATTCGACACAGAAGCACCTGCAGCAGCTGGCATTGCTACACAGCTGCAGCTCCTTGCCTTTGCAGCAGACG